AGCTCCGCCGAAGGCCCCAGCGCTGCCGCCCGCATGGGTCCCGCACACCAATTTCGGCACCCCCCCTACACGTTTCGTGGCCCCATAGGGAACTCTACCGAAGGCCCCAGTGCTGCCGCCCGCATGCGTCACGCACACCCAATTCGGCACACCCCTTACACGTTTCGTGGCCCCATATGGGAGCTCCGCCAAAGGCCCCAGTGCTGCCGCCCGCGTGCGTCACGCGCAAACAATTCGGCACACCCTCACACGTTTCGTGGCCCCGAAGGGAGCTCCGCCGAAGGCCCCAGTGCTGCCGCCCGCATGCGTCCCGCACATTCATTTCGGCACACCCCTCACACGTTTCGTGGCCCCATAGGGAGCTCCGCCGAAGGCCCCAGAATGCTGCCGCCCGCATGCGTCACGCACACTCAATTCGGCACACCCCTTACACGTTTCGTGGCCCCATAGGGAGCTCAGCCGAAGGCCCCAGTGCTGCCGCCCGCATGCGTCACGCACACCCCCTCACACGTTTCGTGGCCCCAAAGGGAGCTCCACCGAAGGCCCCAATGGGTGTGCCCGCATGCGTCCCGCACATTCATGTCGGCACACCCCTCACACGTTTCGTGGCCCCGAAGGGAGCTCCGCCGAAGGCTCCAGTGCTGCCGCCCGCATGCGTCCCGCACATTCATTTCGGCACACCCCTCACGCGTTTCGTGGCCCCATAGGGAGCTCCGCCGAAGGTCCCAGTGGGTGTGCCCGCATGCGTCCCGCACACCCATTCCGGCATGCTCTTCACACGTTTCGTGGCCCCATAGAGAGCTCCACCGAAGGCCCCAATGGGTGTGCCCGCATGCGTCCCGCACACCCATTTCGGCACACCCCTCACGCGTTTCGTGACCCCTCACACGTTTCGTGGTCCCATAGGGAGCTCCACCGAAGGCCCCAGTGGGTGTGCCCGCATGCGTCCCGCACGCCCATTTCGGCACACCCCTCGCACGTTTCGTGGCCCCATAGGGAGCTCCACCGAAGGCCCCGGTGGGTGTGCCCGCATGCGTCCCGCACACCCATTTCGGCACACCCCTCACACGTTTCGTGGCCCCATAGGGAACGCCACCGAAGAAGATATTCACAATTGCGGTATTCACAATTGCATATGGTGGGGTCCTTCGCCAGGATATTTTTTGTAGGGTTTTTCCCAGCCTTCCTGCGTTGGGTTCTCGTTTTGAATAGAACACTGCTCGCGCGTCTCCTTGCCTCCTTCCCCCCCCCCTCTCTTCCCCCTTGCCTTTTGCCTCGCTCGTCGCTGCGTGCCAGCTCGGGGGCTGCGATCTGCCAAACTGTCGCCACTTTCGAGCCTGCTGGGGGGCCCAGCGCAGTGGGTACTCACCGCGGATTCAAATAAACCTCGCCATCCATGAGGGGCTGCGATCGGTGAAACTGTCGCCACTTTCGAGGCCTGCTGGCGGGCCCAGCGCAGTGGGTACTCACCGCGGATTCAAATTAAACCTCGCCATCCCTGGGGGGCTGCGATCTGTGACACAGTCGCTATTTTCGAGGCCTGCTGGCGGGCCCAGCACAGTGGGTGCTCACCGCGGATTCAAATTAGACCTCGCCATCCCTGGGGGGCTGCGATCTGTGATGTCGCCAAATTAGACCTCGCCATCCCTGGGGGGCTGCGATCTGTGAAACTGTCGCCACTTTCGAGGCCTGCTGGGGGGCCCAGCACAGTGGGTACTCACCGCGGATTCAAATTAGACCTCGCCATCCCTGGGGGGCTGCGATCTGTGAAACTGTCGCCACTTTCGAGGCCTGCTGGGGGGCCCAGCACAATGGGTACTCACCGCGGATTCAAATTAGACCTCGCCATCCCTGGGGGGTTGCGATCTGTGAAACTATCGCCACTTTCGAGGCCTGCTAGGGGGCCCAGCACAGTGGGTACTCACCGCGGGTTCAAATTAGACCTCGCCATCCCTGGGGGGCTGCGATCTGTGAGGCTGTCGCCACTTTCGAGGCCTGCTGGGGGGCCCATCACAGTGGGTACTCACCGCGGGTTCAAATTAGACCTCGCAATCCCTGGGGGGCTGCGATCTGTGAAACTGTCGCCACTTCCGAAGCCTGCTGGGGGGGCCAGCACAGTGACGCCACACGCAAATTCAAATTAGACCTCGCCATCCCTGGGGGGGGGGGCGCGATCTGTGAAACTGTCGCCACTTTCGAGGCCTGCTGGGGGGCCCAGCGCAGTGACGCCACACGCAGATTCAAGTTAGACGTCGCCATCCCTGGGGGGCTGCGATCTGTGAAACCTTCGCCACTTTCGAGGGCTGCTGAGGGGCACAGCACAGTGGGTACCCACCGCAGACTCAAATTAGACGCCGCTTTCGTCCTTGTTCTCCTCCTGCAGTCACCTTCCCTCTGCTGCTGCCGTGCTGATGGTTCGGCTTCCCGCACGTTTTTCTCCTGCTCTGCGTTCCCGACCCCCCATGTCCTCTTCGAGCCTGTAGCTGTCGCCCCTCGTTCTTGTATGGTTCTCCTGCGCATCATGCCATAGGCGCGTGTCCCAAGTAACTTACACATCAAGTTGATTGTCCATGCAAATTTCGGCCAACTCCTCGTTTCCATTGATACAAACGGGTTGGGTACGTCACAGGGTAATTGGACACACGATTTTGAAATCCTTCCGAAACCGATGGGTTTTGAAGGTTTTCGGCATACGCGCGCGACGACGCGTGCGTCTGCACTTCGTCCCGTTTTTTGCAAGGGATTCTCGCGACGGCACGCGCGCAAGGGCGTTCGACAGATTTCGACATGAGCGCGCGCGAAGCCCGTTTGGTAGCATTTGGTGAACATCTTGACAAGCCTATGGTTTTCTTAAGATTTCGCAAGAGCTTTCGTGGAAGCTTTTTTAGCAACTCTGTGTTGCGAAACCAGGTGTTTTTGTATGTTTTTGGAAACTCCATTGCGAAATCCTTCCCGCACCGAAGGATTTTGAAGGATTTCGGCATGCGCGCGCGACGACGCGCGCGTGTGCACTTCGTTTCATTTTTTTGCAAGGGATTCGCGAAAAAGCGTTATGTTAGAACAAAACATGTCACCGCATTGTGTTTTTTACAAGGGGACCTCAGGGGGGGGAAACTGGCCTAGCTGGGATGGTATGATTTCATATTTAGGATGGACGAGTGTGCAGAATATATATATATATACACACATGAAATCATACCATCCCGGGGGGAACCGATAAGTCCGGGGGGGGGGTAGAATCTATTCTCTTTCTAGAAAGGAGAATCCACTTTGACCGTCTTGAAGCTGTCCTCCCTACTGCTCGTGCAAACATCCAACCCTCCCACCCGCAACTTGGTCGCAAGACTTCTTCAGACAAGACCGTGACGGTAGGTACCACATGGCACTTGGCCACGACACCGGCGCCGACGACGACAGCGACAACGACGACGACGGCGCCGCAGACACCGACTACGACGACACCGCCGACGTCGACGTCGACGAAGACGACGACGCCGACGCCGACGACGACGAAGACGACGACGACGGAGACGACGACGAGGGAGGAGGGAAAAACGACGACGGCGACAACGACGACAACGACGATGGAGGAGGGAAGACGGCGACGACGCGAACGACGAAGAAGGAGGAAGGACGGCGACGCCGACGACGACAACGACGAGGGAGGAGGGAAGACGACGACGACGACGACGACGACGACGACGACGAATAGGAGGGACGACGACGAGACGCCGACGACGGACGACGACGACGACGAGGGAGGAGGATAACGACGAGGGAGGAGTGAAGACCACGACGACGACGACGACGACGAAAATAGGAGGGACAACGACGAGACGCCGACGAAGACGACGAGGGAGGAAGGACGACCACAGCGACAACGACGACGGAAACGACCACGACGCCAAAGAGGACGACGACGACGAACACGAGGAAAGACAGAGGACGACGTAGGCGACGACGACGACGACAACGACGCGGGAGGATCGAGGACGGCAACGACGACGACGACGCAAGAGCGCGCGCGCACGCTTTTGTTGAACATCCGTGTTGCGAAACCTTGTGTTTTTGTAGGTTTTTTGGACACACGATTTTGAAATCCTTCCGAAACCGATGGGTTTTGAAGGTTTTCGGCATACGCGCGCGACGACGCGCGCGTCTGCACTTCGTCCCATTTTTTGCAGGGGATTCTCGCGACGGCACATGCGCAAGGGCGTTCGACAGATTTCGACATGAGCGCCCGCGAAGCCCGTTTGGTAGCATTACTCGATTGCGAAATCCTTCCCGCACCGAATGATTTTGAAGGATTTCGGCATGCGCGCGCGACGACGCGCGCGTGTGCACTTCGTCCCATTTTTTGCAAGAGGATTCGCGAAAAAGCGTTATGTTAGAACAAAACATGTCACCGCATAGTGTTTTTTACAAGGGGACCTCAGGGGGGGGAAACCGGCCTAGCTGGGATGGTACGATTTCATATTTAGGATGGACGAGTGTGCAGAATATTTATTTGAAATCATACTATCCCAAGGGGAACCGATAAGTCCGGGGGGGGGGGTAGAGTCTGTTCTCTTTTGAGAAAAGAGAATCCATGTGGTGCGATCTATGTGGTGTAAGCTAGGTTGTGCACTCATAATGGCGCAAACGATGCCATGCAATCTATGTGGGCGGTGACGGGGCGACCACAAGCCGGCCGGGGCGGCACACCAGCCCAGCGACGGGCTGGCAAGGGCGGCGAAGACCGACGACGGGGCGGCGACGGGGCGACCACACGCTGGCCAGGGCGACACAGCAGCCCAGCTCCCTGTGAGAGAAGTAAGAACCCAAAGTGCAAGCACTGCTTGGTGAATATGTCATTCACGCCTTGCCAGACTCTAACTGACGTCAGCATGAAGCTGCGCTGCATGGAACGTGTAGTGCCAACGCGTCAAATTCTTCAAAAGGCACTTGCCGAGAAGGGAACCCTTGACGGGCGATTGAGATGGTCTGCCTTTTCAGAGTCGGAGCAATCACAACGTTGTGCCACCCATCGCGCGATTCTCATGGGTCTTCGAGCGCTGGCCCACTGCCCAGGCCACGATTCGCCCCCGATGCCTCCCGCCGCTGCCGGGGGCTCGGAGGCGCTGTGCGCTGGCGGGAAGGTCCTCGATGCAGAAGCAACTGCAATTCACGCCGACCTTCTCGCAGCAGATGGAGTGCTCCGTGATACATATCTCCATCACGGGCCCCTGGCCCCCGCCCAGCTCCCGCTGCCCCTTGCGCGTCCCTCCCGCTCCTATCCCCTCCTGACCCTTGCAATCTGTTCAACCTAGTGTGCGCGGCGCTCAGGCGAGAGCCCCGTTTTGGAAAGATAGCGCCCCCCCATATTTGTAGCTGTTGCAAGCTTTAACAACGAATGTGGGCGGCAAACAAGCGAAAGGCTCATCTTGAAAAGGCACCGCATTCCACCCTTGTAGCTGTTCCACACTAGTGAAGCAAAACCGCACGGAAATGAATCGAGAGCCCCATCTTGAAGAGGTACCGCCCTCATCTCGTGTGCGCGGCGCTGATGCGAAATCCCCATCTTGAAATAGGAACCTCGATACATTTTTGTAACTGGTGGTGAGGCTAACGTCAGGCTCACGAATGGTGAGGAAGTCTAAGGGGAAACGTCTCACCACCCTATCGACACGTCTGGTGGTGGGACAGGCAGGGGTTCTCTCAAGAAAAAGGAACGGAGGATGGGGGAGGGTGAGGGAGGAGGAGGTGGAGGAGGCGGAGGGCATAGGACGAGCAGGAGTAGGAGGACGAGGAGGGAGGAAGATAATGAGGACTCAAAACTCAAAGTCCGCGATGAAAATGTACTACTGGATCACCTCTGCTGGGGGCGTGCAGCACTCGAGTGCAGACTGCAGGTCAACCAGCCCACGTTGGGTGTGCCAAGATAGGAGGGCGTTGGCACATGAAGCCTAAAGGAGGCACGTCTGTGCATAAAGGCGTGCGTTAGCTCCTCCCCCCCGCATCGAAATACGATCCCACCTGTTCCCCACCACATCCCACGGGTGTCGGGGGGAACTCAAGGAAGAAAGCCCCCGAACAAAAATCCGCGATTGCGACGAACAAATGCGAGAACAATGACAAACGCGGTTAGCGGCGGAAGTGGTGCAAACCGGTTTGCGCAGCAGACGTGTCAGCAAACCCCTCCCTCCTATATCTCCACCCTCACCCCGTCCATCTGTAGAGGGCCTCCGATCGGTGACCTGCCTGCAAAGAGGTGCGCAACCTGGATGCAAAAACAAGATGCTTGCGTTAACTTTTGCAGGTGTGACACGACAAATCAGCTGCGTCTAAGCAAGGATGCGCAGGTGCGTGTGTGTGTGTGTGTGTGTGTGTGTGTGTGTGTGTGTGTGTGGGCGCTCCTCAGAAAAAGGGTCCCTAACAGAGACCCGCCACTGCTCACCCAACAATATGCCACTGGGGTTGATCCAGGCGTCGCATAGAAACGATAAAAGATGGTCAATGCGCCTATTCCCTCCCATACCAAATCCATCGACTCCTCCCTCAACCACGACAAGTATGTATAAACGGCAGGTTCAAGGTCGGGCGCAAATTACTGCATTGCCAGGCTAACATGGCTCAAATTAAACAAATTAAGTATGCCATATGCCGTGGAACGAAAGTGCGCTCGCTGAAACGCACCCGTGGGTGCCTAACTGTGCCCAAGAATTTGCTTGGCCACCGCGGCCCTCCTGCACGAACAGTCCCCGAACCCCCCAACCCAATCAACCTACCCTGCGGGAGAATCATAAACAAATGCACAGATGGGGACGGGGTCGACCCACAGTGGAGAGAAAGAGAGAGAGAGAGAGAAACATATCCGCCGATCCGGCGTGTGAGTTTCACAGAGCGTGAGCTTGAGCTTCGCTTGAGCTCCGCTCTGCAAGGGGGGGGGGTTGTCAGCATTTTCGCCCGCCCCGCCTCCGCTCTGTAGGGGGAGGGCATCAGCGCTTTCGCCCTTCCCGCCTCCGCTCTGCAGGCGGGGGGGGGGCGGGGATCAGCGCTTTCGCCCCCGCCTCTGCTCTGCGGGGGGGGGGGTTGCCAGCGCTATCGCCCTCACCTCCGCTCTGCTAGGGTCTGCAAGGGGGGGGGGGTCAGCGCTTTCGCCTGCCCCGCCTCCGCTCTGCAAGGGGGGAAGGGGGGGGGGTCAGCGTTTTCGCCCCTCCCCTCCGCTCTGCTAGCTAGTGAGGGGGAGAGGTTGTCAGCGCTTTTGCTCCCTCCTCCGCTCTGCAGGAGGGGGTGTGTCAGCGCTTTCGCGCTTACCCTCCGCTATGCCAGAGGAGGGGGCGGGGTCAGCGCTTTGGCCCCCGCCTCCTCTCTGCGTCGTCGCCGTCGTCGCCGCCGTCGTCGTCGTCGTCGTCGTCGTCGTCGTCGTCGTCTTCGTCGTCGTCTTCGTCATCGTCATAGTCGTCGTCGTCGTCCGTCGTCGTCCATGTCAACCGGCATCCTTAACGCCCCGGATCGGCGGCACTGGCCACAGGCCACTACAAAATATAGACATGTGTATATACAGAGAGAGGGAAAGAGAGAGAGAGAGAGAGAGAGAGACAGAGAGACAGGGAGCGAGAAAGAGAGAGAGAGAGTGAGAGAGAGAGACAGAGAAAGAGAGAAAGAGAGAGAGAGGGAGAGAGAGAGAGAACGGAAGAGAGAGAGAGAGAGAAAGAGAACGAGAGGAACAAAGAGACAATGATCGAGATCGCCACTGATAGGTTGTGACCTTGTTCAGCTGCCTAGGAATGTGCGGGGCGGCTTCTGAACGCTTGCGAAACCAATCGCGCGATGCATCCAGATCCTCTACGGTCTGGTACTCCTCGGGTGACTCAAAAGGCTTCGCGCAGAAAACAACGTGTCTTGGGCGCAATGGGACTTGCCTCGCCAATTGCCAGCGAACGCAATCATGCCACGACTACTACTTCACACGGGCATGCCGCCCTCTGGCGGCCGGCACCTATTGCAATTAAAGTTGCCCGAACCTTTGCTCGAAACTGGTAGTGGCTTTTTGAAACGCGTCGCGCATGGCGGTGGCGCGGTCGAACCGCAGGGGCCGTCCTGCTGATCTAGGATGCGCCTCGCACTAGGGCCAGAGGCAGGAGCCGCGGCGATGGGCTGCATTCTGGCTGGCTCCTTGATTCGTGGCCTCGGCGGGGTCTGGCAGGATGGAACAACTTCTAGAACTCCTCAGCGGCACGACCGCGAATGGCGCCCAGGGGGAGTCCTTGCCCTCGTAGGCTGCTCAAGTTCCGATGCGTCGTCGCGTGGAAACAGGTGCTGTTCCTGTCGTTGCTTGCCTCGAAAAGGCTGTCTCATTCCGAACCGTACCTAATTTAGCCGCGTCCGAGCTGGATGGGTTGGAAACGAAAGAAAAGCGTTGTGGTGACTCATGCTCTTCGGGGGTCTCATCGAACTGACCCGGAGGTCTCTCTGCGCCAGAAGATGGCCAACGTTTCAAATAACATGCCGGTCTCACGTTCGTATGTTTGGGCGTCGCAGTATGCCTTGATGGGGTCGCGGAGCGTTTGCAACTGGTAGCTGCGCGGGGATAGGGGGGCGCGGGAGTAACTGAACCCCTCCCATTGGCGGAAGCAGCGCAGGGCCTATCCTTGCTGGGCGAGTGCCTCCTCTAAGGTTGGAGGAAGAGAAGAGGAGCGACATTCCTGCTGCCCTTCTCTCGTGCGGGCCGCCCTGGCCGCCCAACGCGCGCCCGGGGCCGCGGTTTGGGGGCCGAGGCGGAGCTGGGGTTTGAGCCTGGCGCGGCGCGGGCGGGCGTCGTCGTCTTTCGTTCGTCGTCGGGAGGAATTTCGGGACCCCAAGATCCCCCCAAAAAGCTCCACGATGGTTCCAAAATGGCCTCCGATGCTCCAGCATGGCCTCCAATATGGCTCACGGCACAAATCTCGGCGGACCGACCTCGTGTACCCGACCGCGGGCGCAACGCCCCAACGATGGGTGCGGCGACCGAGCCAGGGCTGCCGTCCCGCTAACACCCCGCGTGGGGGGCGCAGGCGGTGACGCGCGCTGTCCCCGACCAGGCCAGCCTGGGCGTTGAACCCCAAGGGCGGGCGGCTGAGGCAGAAAACGGTCCGCCACCGACCGAGGCAGCCACGCACCCAGGAGCGGGCGGGTGGGGCGGAACGACCGACGGGCCCGCGCCGCGGGCGAGCGCCCCGCGAGCGCGGCGCGAAGCAGACGGCGCCAGGGCGCGCCGCGGCCCGCCCCGGCGCGATCCCCGCGGCGCGCCTGCGCGAGCGCCCGCGGCAGGCCCGCGCGTGACAACACAGAAACACCAACCACCGAGCGCGGGCGGCGCGCCCTGCGGTCGGGCTGCATGCGTCGCGCGTCGCACGCGCCGCGGGGCCCGTTGGCCGACCTGCGATTTGTGCCCGCGCAGCACCCTGCAAGTGTGCGCCCCCTAACCGAAGATTGTTCAAGATAGCTCCTGGCATACCTTTAAGAGGCCCGGCGAAGGCCACAAGACGGGCCCGAGAAGCCCAAATCCCCCGCCCCAGCAACTAACGGGAAATCCGCGATTTTTGACTTCTCGCTTTTTCGCTTCCGATGCGCTTATGGGGCCTCGAGGTGGCCCCCAGGGATGCCCAAGAGAAACCCATGATGAGGGTCCTAGGGGCCCACCAGATGGCCCCAAGAGCGCTCCAAAAACGACCCCAAGAGGCGATTTTGATGGCCCAAAGGGGGTACCAAACGTTAGAGAGAGCGTGATCCACCGCCGCTTCACTGTGGAAGCTTCCCCCCTCTTCCTCCGGAGCCCGGGGTCCCCCTCCCTCCCCCTCCGAAAATCCCCCCCCCCCCCCCTCGAACCCCTCTTCCCCCCCCTGCCCTGGCAACCCCCCCCCCCTGCCCTTAATCATTTTTTTTTTTTTTTTTTTTTTATTATTACATATATTTATATATTTATTTATTTATTTTTATATATATATATTATATATATATATATATATATATATATATATAATATATATATAAAAGCACCCCCTCCCCCAGGCGACTGGGAGCCAACCAGGGACATTGCGGCCCCCCCCCCCATCCCTTGTAAAAACAATACAAAACACACTCTGCCTCCAAATTCGGAGCATGCGCAGCGAACCCGATGCGGCCTCCCCCCACCATCCCTGTCAAAAACAATACAGAGTACACTTGGCGGCGGCGGCGGCCGGCGGGGGCAGCGGCTGCGGCG